GAGGAATACAGGTCAATTCCGTAAACGTTGTGGTACCGTCCTTGATCCGGAAAATGATTATTTTGAATAATTTTGTCAGTTGTAATGTAAGCATTAATAACAGCAACTTAATTTTTCATGCATGATTTACTTCATTTGATATCTTAATCCTTCAAGCGCCGTGATCTAGACAAAATATATAAAATCATTGTTCCTAGCTACCGGGGTCCCATGCGACGCGCGAAGGCTTAATCATATTATTATAAAGTATTATTAAAATAATGTGTAATTAATAATATTGCGATTCTAAAGTAAATACTCCCTTTCATAGACAATTAATAATTTACACAAGACAAAAATTGTTAGAAAGAAAGTTAATAATATTGTATTCGACTGTACTCAATGTAATGTATGTAGAAGTTTACATTAAAATTTAATGGTTTTCTAGGTCAAAAGTCAAGCAAAAATTGGACTGATATTGGGCACTATTTCAAGCACAATTTTTTGAGACGTAAATTGTACCTATAGCTCGTTCGATATTCGCGCACTGAGGTGAGTATGCTGGGCGTAGAACCTACGCCCAGCATACTCACTGAACGAAGCCTATAACTCCGAAGTTATTCGAGCACTGTTTTTCTTTCTGGGCACCGTTTGGCACTATTTGGGAACTATTTTTTGAAGTATGAATTATGTTTGAAGCGTATACAGATTCTCCGGACGGAGGTGAGTATGCTGGGCGAAACCTTCGTCCAGCATACTCATCGAACTATGGCTATAACTTCGCAAGTACAAGAGCACTATTTTTTTCCTTTGGGCACTATTTAGCACTATTTCAGAACAGTTTTTTGACATTCATGAAATATCAGGATTCCATGGTGAGTATGCTGGACGAAGGGACACGGCGAAGCGCGTGAGGGAACTACCCTCCTTACGTCGCAGCCGCCGCAGTAGGTGACACTCCAGGCGCCGAAAATCGAGAGCAACGCTATCTGGCCACCACGATCACCACGGGAACAGGAAGCACAGACGGGGCCCAGCCCAGCAGCAGGGCCGATGTTCAGCCAGGGTTAAGGGGCAAGCGCAAGAAGGTGCCACGGCCTCGGCCTGGAGCAGGAGAAAGGAATCGGAATGCTTTTATTCAGTAAGAGTCTGACTATTCCTCTCGCGTCACCCTGGGCGAGGGAGGTCATTTGATAATTTGACTCTTACAAAAAAAAGCTTCGCCCGCGGCCCCCGTTATCCGCAAAAAGTATGCATGTGCCAGTTTTTACGTTACGTGAAAACAGTGCCCTTTTTTTCTAACAGTACACCGCGTGAGTGATGTTACCGGAGGCCCAATCCTTCCCCTCTCCCAATTCCTCCCCAATCCCTTAATCTCCAAATCCCTAATCACCGAGTTCAGAGAACTTCTGTTGCGGGTGTCCATGGGCGGCGCTGATTGCTTACCGACAGGTAATCCGTCTACTCGTTTGCCGACTTAATACCTACATAATAAAATACTAATGATTTTCAATATAAATAACACTCGTATAAATATCCTAAAATATCACAGTAGTTAATTGCAATAATTTTGATTGATCGATTTTGTTTCCTATACACTCAATCCCCATACGTCAAAAGAGGAACAACCTTCGATCAAATTTACCAATTGAATAATCACTATTCGTATATTTGGTACCAGGGTATCAGAAGAGTGACATAGATTGATTGTTACGGAAGCAGAGAGTATTCTGCGATGATATGTAATTAGATGTTTGTTAATAAGATGTAGAGTGAACTTTGGTAACTTGAATTTTACCTATAAGTGTGTTAGGTAGAATACAAATAATTAAAGGCAAAATAATTAGATTTAAACTATGATTTTCTACTTTCTGTTTTAAGCGCTCGGTTGGAAAAGCTTTCGGCAACTGGGACCACAAAAACTCGGACCCAGATCCCAGTAGCCGGAACCGTAAAATTTTAATAAATTTTCTTAATAATTATAATAATTATCCGGGGGCCCATTAATTGAGTTTGCCAGTCACCCCCTGCCTGTTTATCCGTATGTATCAATATTGGTCAGGGGCAGGGGCCATAGTATTTCCATAGTTTTCATCCACCAGTCCATAGCAACCCATACCCATAACCCTATAATTTTTTACCACATTTCGCAATAGTCCTCCATCAACCGGGGATTGTCCTTGGGTGCACTTTTGTAGTGCATACAGGGATAATTGCCGGCTGATGACCCATCACATTTAGATTAAAACTGTTCAACGGGCCTCTGCGAGTTGGCTTCGGCCCCTCGTACGCCTTCCAAAGGTCCGGGACCCTGTGGTCCCGTGATAGGAAAGAATAATAATTATATATATATATTATGATAATTTAAAAAAAATCAATCATTTCAGCTAAAATTGGTAGATACAGTTATAAGAAAATAATTAAATAAGTATTTAATTTAAAATAATTTTTAACAACAATATTCCGACTTCAAAAAGTAAACTAAAAAGCAAAAAATAAATTTTCTTTGTAGAAATTAATACATGTTTTCATTTAGTTAAATAGAAAACAATATTAATAACCATTTTATTATCTTGAATTCGGTGCCAAGTAAAACATGCGCGCTCCATCGTCGACCGCATCGTCGCTTTCCATCAGGTGAGATAGCGGTCAAGCGCGAACCTATAATCAATAAAAAAAAAAAAATAATAACAAAAATAGTGTAAAGATTACCTATAACTTACAACTAATCATGGTCTCAGTCGCCGGAAGCCTCCAGTTGGGGTTGCAGGTCAAGCGCAATGACGGTATGCTATTCCGGGTATATATATTTTAAAATAACATTTGAATTACAAAAATATGTTGTTTAAGGCAATGGTATGGTACAAATTGTTCACCTGGTAGCATGCAATCAGTACTGCCAATGTGACACAACACAAGTGCAAAGCCGTCCTTTGGACGGTTGTTAGAAGTTTGGAATAGGGGAAGATTGAGGCTAAAAGTGGTCTTAGACGAAAAATATACAGAAAAATAAAACAACAGTAACAATCATATTCAAAAATATATTTTTATCTACAAAAAATATCACAATATAAAATAGGTCATTAATCTAGAAATTTGACTTAAATTCTTATTTTACATAAATATAAAAATAGGACCTCCTTTTTAAATCACAAGGGCACATTATTTTGGTCCTTATCTTCTTCAATAAGTGGAGTTTTGCGTAAGTGTGGCGTAAGGTGCTGCTACTGGTCCAATTGTATAACTGTTAGAAGTTCAGGTAAGTACTAATGACTCGACACTAGCTTAAATATTTCTATATTCGCCAATATTTTCACGAAAAACCTGATCAAAAGAGTTTTGTATCCAAAAACCATTCTAAACAATTTACCTAAGAATTGATGTGCTAGTATTTGTTTTCTATTTTGTGCAATATCTATTAAGTATCTTGGTAACTTTTACTTGATGACTATCAATTCAATATTTTTTTTATTCTCAAAAATTATCAGTTTGCTATTTTACTGGTTTTCTCATTGTGACGTCAAGTATTTTGTACCTAATAGCAAAGTTATTTCTTGAAAATCAGCAAGATATATGTATATCTTGCTGATTATATATATATTAAGGTTGTATGTATATCGATCTGAATTATGTTTTATAAATCATATATCAAATTACTTATCGTCTTGCTTGACAGCGGTGACAGAGTTCCGTTTTTTAAATTATCTTAACTGACTTTCTATGTCAGAATTTTAAATTTGACTTATTTTTCTTGATCTTATCTGATCATATTATGAGAACCCGTAATTTCTTTTTTCTCCTAATGACTCCGTATAAAAATAGGCTTTTTCAATTTGTTCCAAAAATAGTAATTATTTACCTTATAGGCACTTTTTTTACTTAACATACTAAAATTAATCTAAAACCTAATTCTATCACCGACACTCAGTTTTAAAAAAACATGTTGTTCTATTTACATTCACAATAAGTATTACAAAAAACATAAATCTAAATGCAAAGGACCATTTAAATATTGTCATGTTTTAAATCTAGTAGTTTACAAAATAAAATATCAACAAAAATATGCAGTTATGGAATGTGTGCTCAATTTTCTATGTAATACGAACTTAATTACAATGCATTAATATCTATTGTGATTATTTTTTCTTGTACACAGTTATTTGGAAAAGACAAAAAATGAAAAAAATGAAAATTGGCGTACTATAGAGACAGGAGCTATTATGATATAAAATATTAAATAACTAGCTACTCTCGCGCGGTTTCACCAATTGCAGATCGTAGCGTGATGTTTTATCTTTTCACATGGAGAAGGTTTGAGCACACTTGTTTGCGGACTAGCAATTCAAACTTATAATTGGAAATTACAAGTCCATGTTACCTTACGATGTTTTTTGTCATAATTTGTCAGTGGCGTCTCAAATATACATGTTTAGAAAGTAACTTGTAAAAAAATAAAAACACGTTTGTACTTTTGCCATGTTTCGGACCCGAAACTCATGCATGAGAAACGGGCACCTTTACCTTCAGGCCACCAAGACATGCTTCCATTGATACACTGTTATGTTAACATAATTCGCAAACAGCATTATGTATACCAAATAACTGTGCAGACATGAGTACCTTAACAAAACTAAAGATGGCACTGATCTACAATCTCGTACGAGTGAACTGTTGGCAAACTCCTAAATATAATCCAAAATGAATTAAAATATGCGAGTTTCTTTACATCCGAGTTTTATGGGTATTTTCCAGAAGGTCAATCACTAAAGACAATCTGACTTCATCTATGTATGTTTAATATATTGACTTATTTACATACAGTTTGTAGCTAATTTATTTTGATTACAATGTTTGAAGACTTGCTCAGGAAACGGGCTTGTCGCAGCTAACTGAACGCTGCATATGGCGCGCAATCCTGCTAATGAATATGAGCCCCTGGTTTTTTTTTGTGAGGGGAAAGACATCAAATGACTTCTCCCGCCCAGGGCCGGGCAGGAAGGAGTGTCAGCCCCTGGTATGGCTTGAAACTACTCGAGTACTACTCGAGTTCCTCGTCAAACAGTCATGAAAGAATATTGACTGTACAATGTAAATTGTAAATGTGGCCTATAAGAGACTATAATCTATCAGTCCATTTCGAGTAATCGATTAAATGTCAATTATCGCGTTGACAGCATAATTACTCTTTGATAACGTAACCCAATTGTTTCATTTCCTTATCGAATTGTTCGTCTCTGTATTTCTTTATCTTTTGCAACCAGACTCCGAAGTTAGCGCCTGCCCTACATTTTCCCCCGTACCTGGGAGGGAGGCACTCTAAATCAAGATGTTTTTGGAGGGATTTGAGGTCGTTGCCATGGAAGTGTATGTACTGCCAAGCCTGTTGAGGTATGAACTTCTTGAAGATATAGAAGAAGGTATTCAGGATCCAGGAGTAGTTGATGATGTGGATCCCTTTTAGGCGTGCTGGTACTGCTAGCTGTGAACAAATCAATAGTTTGAGATATTTTGTTTGCGTTCAGAGAATGATCAGGATATTATACTTAATAAAATATTTCTAATTACTTCTTACTACATGCATACATATGATTTTATTAGTGTGAGATATTCTAGAATGTCTCTGGTCGGGAATAAAAAATACTTGATTTTGTTAATGTCAAAATCTAAAAAAGTGATTTGCATTTTCAATTTAAATTTTTCAACAGGTCTTATTGTCGTAATAGTGCAGTGACCTCGTTTGAAATTATGATATTAATAAACTTTAGTAGGCTAATTATGATAATTTCTAATGAAAGTAGTACAAAAATGCGCATTGCATAACAATTAGTTGTTGAAAAAAATACTTTTTATAGTTTTTTTAATACTTATTTTTTTTATTATAACATTTTAGTTTCTTTGTTTTTTTTATTAGTAGGTAACAATGGAAATACCTACTTATGTATAAATAATTAAATTTTAATTTTAATAACAATGCCACATTTTTATTTTGAAAGTCTATGGCAAATGTGTTTTCGTACACGATAAAATAAAAATGTGTTTCTAATACTTTTAATTATCTCATTGACGAACTAATTATCCATATAATTATCTGCACTGTTATCATCCCTATTTCATAGCAAATTTGAGGTAACAATTGATCGCAATTGTCATTAATGTGAAGGTTTCTAGAATTTTACTTCTTGTGTGACATCAGTTAAAAGCACTTCAAACAATATGAAGTTTTTGTGCCCTTGAGACAATTATTGAGCGTTCTCACAATTAAACTGTAACATTGTTTCTGTATGAAACTGATAAACAAAGCAAGTGTGCAAGAATAATATTCAAATTGTCCTGGAAGATTTATTTGAAGACAAAATTCTTGTCTACAGAACGATAATGAATACAAAAAATGGTAGTAAACATCTAGATTGGCCATAGCATTATGGATTTATCTAAAAAGTTCACATAAATAAAGCCATGAAAGTCCTTGGAAACAAGGTATAATGAATATAATATATGATATATTCAAATAAGTGACACATTGTCATACGAAAAAGAAAAATACCGAATACGGTATGTATTCGGTATTTTTCTCCTGTACACAAAATATGTTATACCATCAGGTCCATTGATAAAGTGAGCCATCAACCACGTGAATATATTCTTCAAATCGTATCGCTTGTTTTTATTTTTTGTCAAATGATCGACAAATTGACATGAAAACTTCATCAACTAAATACTCACCCCCATTAGACACACAATCTGGTAGGCTACTGTTGGAGTTAACGCCGCCACATGCCGTAACGTAAGGCCTTCCAGGTCCACGATCACAGTTCCAGCCAGGATCTGCAACTTCGGCTGTCTGATACCAATCTCCGTCATCGCCATACCAGCTCTTAACAGGTCTTCCACAGGGTACTCACTTGGGTCCCAACGACCTGCAAACGGAATTAATACTTATTTTCTATTTATGATGGAGTATGGAAGGGAATATTTGGAGGGGAATGGCAGATGCACATATTTATTTGTACACATTTAAAAACAAATAGCATGTAATCTTATTAACCAATTTGCTATCCAAGTAGGTTTTTTTGTTAAAAATTTAGTTAGCTTAACAGGCTTCTTTGAAAGTCATGTGCATAATAAATATTAACCTCTTGATCCTCAAGTGAACGCGTTTGCACGTGACGTGATAGCACCATCACAACTTTAAACTATTTAAGAAATCATGATCGCCTATTCCGCCTGAACAAGTGTCCGAATCACTGTTTCACAAGTTTATAATAAATAGAAAAAAAAACTAATCACGCCATTAATGACAAAATAACTGTCTTAAAACATTTCATTTCAGCAATAGTGACATTACCTGGGGCACAGGAACCCAATAAAAAGTCTTTTCTGTAAACAATGTCAAAGTCCCACACGAGGGACCTGAAGGGTTTTTGACCCTTTCCCTTTGAAACTCGTTACTGTCAACTTTTATATAATGTCTTCAAGCACTATACACAGATACCTACATACTTTATGTGTTTGTTATGTAAATAATATTGAGACCTAGGTATTCTGAGATAAGGATGATACTTGCGGATTGTATGTAGGTAATGAGACACCTATATTACTCACAGAATTTTTATAGTAAAATAAATTTATATTCGAAGCCTATAACGTGCTAAGCATGATATGATGAATAGGTCAATGTCAATGAAATTATTATTATTATATGCCGAAAGATCTTGTTCGTAGGAAGTGTAACTACACTGGAAGACTGTCTAGCTGAAAGCAACATTTTACTAGTACAACTCTGAAACTCAGTAATTACTCTCTGTAGGATCAGATTAGGATGTAAAATGAATGTAATGTAAAGCGAAGAAAAGTCCTTTTGTGGATAAAGAAAAATTGAAAAGATTGACTTCATCTAGTTTTATGTATAATTTTTGTTAAAGTGTTGTTTTATGGCCTGTTTGCAAAGATAGATTCCATATTTCAATACTCAATAAGTATTCTCACCGAATCTGAAGACAGAGAGTCTGCCTGTATCTGGTCGGTCCAGCATGGTGCCCTCATACGCATCCTTCACCTTGATCAGGTCCCAAAGGTCGACGCCCTCATAAAGATGCTTGTTCTCTTCCCTGAACGTGCAGTATCTGACCAACTGGAAAAAAGTAAAGAGTAAAACAGGCGAAGAGAAAAAAACAGGTAAGTGTAAAGGGATATTAATTTGAATACTGTCATGCTACGTATAATTTATAATCTATTCTTATAAGAGGAAAAATTTGTAAGCTTGTATGTTAGTAAGTTTACCCATAAGTTTGTATGTATGTGTATCTTTGGAGCCGCTGGTCGGATTGCCAAAATTCTTTCACTGATAAGCTACAATGTTCCTGAGGGCTATAGGCTATAAAACATCACTCTACGATGCAATGGAACTGAGCAGCGGGTGAAACCGCGCGAGAGCAGCTAGTATTATTATTATAAAGTAGTCGAGTTTGTTTGTTTGTTTGAACGCGCTAATCTCCGTAACTACTGGTTCGAATTGTACAATTCTTTTTGTGTTCGATAGTCCATTTATCGATGAAGGTTAGAGTATATGCGTTGTATTAAATATATGTATAGTTTTTATAGTAATCTTGGTTCCCGTAACGAAATAGGTCAGAAGATATTTAATAACAGGCTGAATTAAGGTATTATTTGAGGAGTAGAAAAACGAATCAGCATAATGAATACTTATTCGATGATTGCGCTACTGTACTGTATGTACTGTATTCGATATATCGAGTACATTTGACAGTAATTTCTTAAATCTAAATATCTTGAAAACTAAATAAACAAATATATGAACATACCATGACCTACATGAAAAACAAAATGAGACTTTTTTTCTTCACTGTTTCTAATTTCTATTATTATCATGTTGGCCCGGAGGTTAAGGTTACGCTCCTCAAGCATAAGGAGACGATTTCGAAACCTTCCAAGTACATACCAATGTGACTTTTCCGAGTTATATTAACATACTAGGTTAATTTAGTCACTTCTGATCTCCGGTGAAGGAAAACAAAGTGAGAAATCCTGGACTTATAATCTCTAATTGAACCTAAGTTTGAGATCGCCGCCAATAATAATCCTTGAGCAAGTGTGATGATTAATACTCAAACCTTCTTCGTGTGAGACGCCTAAGCTCAGCTGTGGGGACTTATAGACTGATGATGATGATGATGATGATGATGATGACAAGAAAGACCCGAGAAGAAATAAGGCTTTTTTGCTCCATTGTTTCAATTATATTTTTTTATCTGTCAGACAGTAATTGACTGCACTTCACTCACAAAACAATGTAAATAGGTAGGTACATTTAGATAATATTTTATATCTAAGATATCTTTAGTAACAAGAGTTGACATTTAACACTAATTATGTACAAACTATGGAATATGACTAAGCAGCTTAGTGAACAGTTATGTACAAGTTTTTATACATAAAGTGGTCAGGTATGTATTTTGTCATGTAGGTATAGTTACTGGTTTTGTTCTATTATGACTCGTATACATGTAATAATTGCCCGCGGCCACGTCACTGTTTGTTTTCTAAATAACTTTTTCAAACAATGCTGTAGTACGCTATCAGATAATTATTTACCATACGGGTAAGAAAATAAAGGTTACTTTTGTACAAAAAAAAAACAGAATCAAAACACACATTGGACGACTTTGCTACTAATTTGGACCGAGACTGAATATATAGTAATAATTATTATTCAATCACATTTTTTACTTGAAAGAATTTATTAGATGTTGATGTATATTTAAACTCAACATCACGATCCTCAAACAACACATTAAAAGACACAAAAATATATATTGAAAAAAGAAAATGCTTTCGAAATATTTTTATTTTCACTACCATTTGCTGGGCTGGGCAACTGGCTGCCGCGTTAAGTGCGCGTACGCATGTTCGGTTCCCCCACTGAACAACTGTGTAATCCACATATTGTTGTTCCAGGTCGGGGTGGAATTTGTATGAGCAATTTCATTTGGCGCGATGGCTGGACAACTGGCTGCCGCGCTAAGTGTCGCGGGTTGGATTCCCGCACGGAACAACTGTAAATAATTAATTAACATGCTGCTGTTCCGGGTCTAGGTGTGATTTTTTATATACAATCGTATGTTTGTAAACGCACCCACGACACAAGAAAGAACTAGTGTGCGACAATGTTTAAAAAACATTGCTTCTTAGTCAAAATATTCTCTTAATAGATACAAGACTGGGTTAGAAACAAGAAGAATAATTACATGAATGTTTTTCATGTAATTTAAAGTAGCCACCTAATAATAAAGTCTTATTCTAATAAAGTAATACATTAAAATAAAACCTGTTTATTTTTTATTGACCATTAAACATGTGAACTTTGAAAAAGTCGTACCTAATAATGGAAATAATTAAGTGTTTATTTATAGTTGCAGTCAATTAATTTTTATTTTCGATAGTAGATTATGTATTTTAGAAATTTTCTTTAACTACTCGTGAGCCTGAGAGTAAACTTTACAATAATAAAAGCTATATGTATATAGTCATAAGGACCATATTATCATTATAATCACCGACATCATCACAATTAGCTGGTTTCCGACCACCATTGGGTATAGCTATCTTTAGGTCATAACTGAGCTCGACCTTCAAATTATTCGTATCCAGGATTTCTTTACACAGTAGTAGTTACAACTAATTGAAAAACGCCCTACACTATGTTTGTTAAAGCTTGGCTCCACTTCAGAATCAGAATATACCTATAATATGCTATTAATTTTCTTCCTATTTTCCTTTGGCTTTAGCAAAATCGTATGTAATGTACACTTTTAACAATTTTTTACCTTCGTATAATATTTCTGAGTACCTACCTAGCTTTTTGTTTAATTGTAGATAATAATCGTAAGTAAATATGTATATGCAAAGATCAAGTACTACTTGTGCAAGTACGTACTTACAGATCAAGAGCCGTTGCCTACGTACATGCAACTGTTCAACTTCAGACTGACACTATTTTTTGTTTTAAATTTTGTTTGACGTTCAAAAGTGCCTGTAAAGGTCTAATTGGAATAAATGATTTTTGACTTTTTTTTTTTACTTTTATAGTTTAAAACATACCTACCAATTTATGTGCTCTTGGTACAATGAATTCTCTGGCACGAAGAAACCTCAGCATGTATTCGTCGTCTGTTCTTATAGGGTGGCATTCACCCCGATCTGAAACGACATTTTTATTAATAAAATTAAAAGAAAAGCAGTTAAATAACAACAAATTTATTTCAAACATTATGAACATAATTTTATTTAGTTTTGTTATTGAGATGCAACTGTAAGGTTTTTGCTAAGATATTACAATTAATAAACAATGATTCATATAGATTTAAAATAAACTAACGACCTGCAAAGGTTTATTGACTGGCATGTATGTAACTGTCAATTGTTACCGCTTGGCTTAAAGAAATAATTTATGCATATAACTGACAGAGGCTAGAAAAAAATGTATTTGTACAAATTAATAAATAAAGAAAAGCAAAAAGTATAATTTCCGCAAAAAAATCAACATATTATGACAGGTCCTGTCCATTGTCCATCACTCACCAAATATCATTTGCCTAAGCTCTGTGATGGCTGTCGCCCTGGTAGCTAGATTCTCCTTGCACTGCTCATACGCTAACTCCATCAGTTCTGGATCTTCTTTCGTGTTTAGTTCGGCCTCAAAGCCGATTTCTAAGAAGCACTCAAACATTATGATGCCTTGGTACCTACAATCTAGAACAAAAAAAAACAGCTTTAAGAACAGTTACTTCGTGGGTTAAGTAGTCGCTGTTATAACTACTATCGTATTGTTTGGTTTTAGGGAGGATAAACAAATTTTTGATTTTCGGTTTTTGAAAATTTTAGTTATAGTACCGAATCTCATGTCGTTCTTAAAGTGTCGTAACTAATTAATAACCAATAAACTATGATGTATTATCCCAAATTAATATTATAGCCTTACAACACTAAATTATAAATCTACATACATCCAGCAGGGATAGTAAATTACAAATGGGTATGAACAATTAATACACGTACTAATAATACTTAATTAACTCATCTACGTAGTTTTATGAACTACGTTTACTACTATTATTTAATTTGAATAACTATAAACAGGTTTACACAATGACATCTACATTATTAATAAGAAGTAGAATGCTATTTATGATATCAATGCAATGATGCAACACTTGACGACATTCATTAAAACATAATGATGTATTTTTTAGTACCACCATTTTTGCGAGATGAAAATCTATTTTATTCGGTAAAATATTTAGGATAAGGTACAATAATATTACTTCTATTGGAAACAAGCATTCCGACTATGCATTATAATATTTGTCATTTCTACAACTAAATACGATAAACTAGCTTCCGCCAGCGGCTTCGCATGCGTATAAAAATTATGTATCCCTTGATTTCAAAACCAGCATTTGAAGCGATAACTCGACTAAAATACGCTAATCATCAATACGTATAATTTATAGCTTTTTATGGCCTAGCTCTCAGGTAAATTGTAGCTATCTATTAGTGAAAGAATTTTGGAAACCCAACCAGTGGTGCCAAAGTCTACCCCCTACATACAAATTTACAAATCTTCCCTCATTGTAACATTAATATAGACAAATCTTTTGTGCGTTTTGCGCGATACACCGATACAAGTCGAACGAGCAAACTGATTGCCTACTGTTAAGCAATCGGCGCTGCACATGGACATTTATCACACCAGAGTAGTTTGCAAGTGGTTTGCTAGAGACTAGAGATTCAGGAGGTGGCGAGGGAGGGGAGGGGAAGGGTTAAGGGTTGGGCCTCCAGTAACCTCAGTCAAAAGACGAAACAGAAAACTGTGGTGGTTTCACGTTTCCGGTTTTCTATAAGGCCGTGGGATCACTCCGGTCGAGTCGAACCATTCGTGCTGAAGCATGGGTCTTCCACAGTCATATCGATCAAATTATATAATGCATTGAAAACGTTTGTAGGAAATATGATTGGTTATATTTCACATTTGTTGATTGTACCTACTTATGAAATCATATTTGATACTAAAAATAAATAAGGCAGGTACCTACATAAAGTTTTATTTAGTGATACTGGGCAGGGTGGGTAAAAACCCAAGGGCCTTGGTTTGAAGTACATACCTCAGCTTGTTCAAAACAAAGTTTAGCCCACGGAACCCGTTTTGTTCATAAAAAAGATTTGCGTCTTGTTTAATTTTTTATCGAACCTTTTTTAACACTTCTTATTGTTAATAAACTGGTTTTTAATTATCTTCGGTACTAATCAATGGTTGGATACTCAAACTTTATTGTTTAAATTCAGTTTTACCTGATATAAAGTAATTACATTTAATTATTTATTTTTTCTGACTGGCGTGATACATGACGTTGATATCTAGTTTCAACTTCCTGTTATAGTCACAGAGACATGTTTTTTGATCGATTTAAAGGTCAAACCCAAGACCTCGCAGCCATATAAGCATACAACTTCACTGAGTAGGCAGTGAGATAGAAAACAACAAAGTTGTTTGCCCCAAGGGTATAAAATCAAATAATAATCTGTCGAAATTACGGGTACCCATCTATCACCATCTAAATAATATTTCACAAATGTAAAGGCCACAATATTTTGGGGACATTTCATCAAGCAAACGTAATAAATCTCGTCTTAAATACTTTAAGAGTACTCCTGTCACAAATATTTTCATACTTTAGAAAGTAAAGTATGATTTATTAGGAGGAATAAATCAAAAATATTAAATTCCATGTTTTTATCACAATCATATTGTTCGTGTCGATTTGGGTGGAGTGTTTTGTGTTTTTTGTCTTTAAAAATAAAGTATATTTTTGTATGCTTAAATGTGGACTTGGTCTTCAAATTCAGGGTTATATAGATCTAACAACACTATACTTACTTAAAAAGTAGTTTGACCCTACATTTACATAGTTTGGTATTTAGACTAAGATTTCTATGATTGGAATGGAAACGTACAATTATTTTCAACTGCTTGAAGACAACTATGTAACGACTTTACTGTAATTTAGACTTAAAAGACAATTTGCTGTGATAAATAATAATATTGACATTTACGAAATGTTAAAAATAGTATTTACAAGTCAGCTCAAATGTATCGCATTGATTGAGCAAGAAATATTAATATTTTTTATTACAAAGGTTATTGAGATCGGTTGTATAATTTTTTTACTGGCCTAATTCTAGATAACCTATATGTCTCTGCCATAGAGACCTCTACATTCCATGTTTATTTCGTCCTTATTTTTATATGTTTTAATGTTGTTTATGTGTCGTTTGTGTGAAAAAAATGGTATTTCTTTTTTTCTTCTTTCCATGCCAAACTACGAGCCAGTCAGTCCAAGTGTTGCGTTAAAACGGGGTGAATAGCATTCGAGGGGTGAATAGACCCTAGGAAAATTCTTTCCAATAACTATTCATCCCTTTCGTGTATCTATTCACCCCTCAAATTCTATTAATCCCGTTTTACAGTATTATAGATGTGTCACACATATTCTTGTATGTATCTTTATCTAGGCAGTCAGCTGTCTAACAACTGCCTACGTCACAATGCACTCGTATTATAACCGTCAGTGATTGTCATGCAATTTGTAATGCTCGGACAATCGAATAAATTGTACATGGCGGTATTTTATGATGCTATGGAGACTGTAAATAGAATTATATTTTTATACAACTGTTATTAAATCGATTTCATCTATTTATAGGTGTTGTGTTTAACAGATAAGCCAGGCAGGGGGTGCAAAAAATCCCTATAAAAATGTGATTCCAGAATTGAAATATCCAACCCTGGTTGTAATCACAATAATTTCCCGCTAATGAGCCGTAGCAGGAAAAGGGTAATTTTAAGTCAGTTACAGTCTAAAACTCCTCATCCCACCCAGGTCATAATAGGTTTTAAGTCAAGTTAAAAATTGAGAATCAAAAGCCAAAATCAAAAACCATTTTTTTTTTCAACATACAGGTACTTTTGAAACGTCAAAATAGAACAATAGTCTGTCAGTCGTTAGTGAAGGTGCTAGGTGCTCCTTTGAAATAGTAGATTCGAATCGTAAAGAACGTGTCGTTAAAAGGCCCTAGTACCCATAGCTGCAGTCAAGGTAGCCATTCGTCTCAAAGCATAGGTAAGAATGTAGCAAAAACAAAAATCGCCAAATCAAGCCCATTATGGAAATAAAATCGGAATGATACGAAAGGCGCATTTCCATCCGCTAGACTATCAACCGGATTTTGATATTCGGGTACAGAATCCACACTGAAGGCTGTTTGCTTTAGCCTTGTTATACCTAATATGTATTTGATTAACACGTTATTTTCAAAAACACGTGTATGCATTTCAATTAGAATTAATACTAATCAGAGACCTTGTTTGGGTAACGAAATAAACATTATCTTGGTGATAAAAGTAATTATCTCAATCTGATAATTGGTTTTGTTTCCTTCGCACTGCGGGAGAGACCGTTAGGTCACAGCTAAGCTAATTGCTGGGTGAATATATGAGGATTAGTAGCTAGGCTTAAATTGATTATATATTAGTTAGAATACTTTAGGTACTACAGAAAAAGTTAGGAAGATAGGCGTATATCTATTATTAAGGTACAAAAAAATCTGAATCTATTAAAACAATTTAAATATTCAGTGGAATTTTGGCAGAACTTGGAAAAGTTCGGAAATAAGACAATTTAAATGTATACACACACGGGTACAGGTTAGAAGTTTACATCATAGATTTTGTAGAATACCAACTAGTCACCGGGGGAAAATTCCGAACTATATTTTTTTGCCGGACTTCATGGTCGGTGGTCGAAGTTCACAGCCACTTGACCAAAAAAGCAGTGGACACTAACGTCATACCAAAATTATATTTACACAACGTCGTACTAAAATTATATTAATGACGTCTTAAAAATATCTTTAAGATTTATCTACATCTAAATACTATAATCCAAGGACGATTTGATTCACATCGCACGATCCATTAATTTTGCACAAATGCTTGTCAGGAACTCGAAAACTGCTTAACTAAAATTGTAATAACATTTTCTGTTAGGTCATTTGCAATTTGCGACTAGATTTTTTGTTATTTGTCGCTTTTCATATTACAGAACTCGACAACTTGATATATAAGTATTTATTATCTCATTGGTGAATTTATCTCATTGTGATGTGTATGTATTTATGATCTTATTGGTGAATGTATCTTTTTAACCCAATAAATTTTTTCTTTAAGATTCAAAAGTGTCTAGTAACTTAAGTTATCATAAATGCACAAGCTCGGTATTCCAAAAACAAAAAGACGGGCACAAAAAGGCACAATGTTTACCAACATATCACTACTTTTGTGCTAAATGGGCAAACACAGATGCAGAACAATACATATGTTTGGCAAGGTGGATGGATGGATAAATCCAAAAGTTTGTTTCGATTACAGGATACCAGGATTCTTCTACTAGAAAGCCATTAGACTATTGCATGCATGTACCAGGATAACATGAGGATTAAGGATGTACTTTACCATCTACCTATAAAATGGTATTTAAAGTAGGTTAACATAATTACTTATGTGTCATATAATTTTGTTATCAATCCTAATGGACAAAGTTCAACAGTACATTGATAAGTACTGACAAACAATATCATTGGCTACTGTGTATTTGTTTGCGCAAGAGTATTCAAATCTTATTGGTATGGCAGGCAGAGCATGGCCAATGCAGGCACTGCATACTAGGGTAGCATTAATCCAAGGATCCTTGTGTAACATGTTCAATGTTAATCTAGTTATCACTTGCGGGTACTACTCGTATTGTATAAACTGTTATGTTCCGTTATCATTTAACACTCTGAAATGCATTAAGTTATTAACAAGTTAATTAATACTGATTGTTGAGTGGTTATTGTCTAGTATTGTAAGCAATTATAAATTTCAGCTTAGATTTTGACTCTCGCCATTTCGTTCCCATTAAAAGTACATTTAAAAAACAGTGTCTAATAGATGTATATAAAAATACTAGTTATTTTTTAAAAGTACTTTAAATTTGAATATAAAACCTGATTAAGTTCGTGTAATAAAATGGGCAAAAAATATTAAATTGATAAAGTAAACAATGAAAATCTTAAACAAAGAAATATTTACAAATCTATTCCATCTGCGTGTTACAAAATCTGTACCTATACAATGTATGTAGGGTAGGTTGTATAGTCTAATGGCCGTTTTAATTTTATCTCAAGTAATTGTTGGCTAATGCACATCTAAACTAGATTCATAAATACATAATAATTTTAGTAACTCATTAAACTTGCATTATTCATTATTTCACAGAAATACTCCTGATTTTTTACAGTAATAAATGGAGTATTTTTTTTATATTACTGCACCTACTAACAAAATTTGTTTACCGATATTATAAAATAAACAAAAAAAAAGTGCAAACCTTTAAAAAACAAATAAACCAAAAAAAATATGCACCGAAAAATCACTAAACCACTTCACAGCATGTCCTTTTTTTTGTAACACTAACACACACACACACACAAACACGTCCTCAGTTTTCCCTTGACTAAACAACTGTGTACTAATAAAAAGTACGCAACGTTGGCCCAGTATAATCATATCATTGTCACTAGATTCTCGTTCAAGGATCGCGCGTTAACTGCGCGTGCGCCGATACTAAACATGTTTTTGTTCCGAACTGACGTTTGGACGCATCGTGTGTGACGTCAGTCACTAGACCCTAAAGGCGTTACAGTTTAACAATTTTTCTCGTGATGCATTGTGAACAAACGATTATTGCTAAGTATGATTAATGGTTCATTTACGTAATTATGTCTATTGTTTTCGTGACTAATATATCTCTTTTTAATTTATGACTTTTGTAATTCTTTTTTTTTATGTTTTGTCTTTTCGAAATGTGTTGATACTTTTTATCTCTTTATATATTTTTTAGGATTGTGATGATTGACGCTCTTTGTAATATCCGCTAGCCTAAAGTTCATATTTTATTTAAGTTTTGTTTTAAAGAGAGAATTACAAGTAGGTGAATATTCATCAATATTTTTAACAAAGGTTTTTAAATTCTTCTCATGTATCTAGCTTGGATGAGATTCGGGATTGTGATTAATGTATGAAAAATTAAGTTAGGTTGTTCGATAAACGGTTTAATGCCAGGCCGAGACTACACTCATATGCTAGTCGATGTACTTGTTTGTATCCGTCATGTTCAAGATATAGGGCTAAGTAGGAAGGAAGGGCATGCAGAGAGCCCTCTACCATTGTGATATTAAAAATCGTCATATCTAAATCCTTTCCTTGAATAAGAGTTTGGTTGCCTAAAAGAAGAATATGTAGTTTGTATTTCAAATTATTTTCTTAAAAATCAATCAAAAATCCTTACAATAAAATGGTCTCAACAAACTCAGTTTAGTACTTACCTATACATTTAGGCCTTTAAGGTAAAAACTAAAACAGTTTTCAATTCCCCGTTTTATAACTTTTGAGTGACCATTTTTAACTCCGTTATTTTTGTAATATGAACTCTGTTGATTTGTTAATAAAAAATTAAGATTGATTGACATGATAATTAGGTAATTAGTAAAATAAATAAATAAACAAACAAACATATTTTGCATTCTAAGTAATATGACGAAATTTGGATGTTGAGAAACCGGTACCTGCCTAAACCGTTTACGTCAAACCAAAACACGTTTTCAAAATTGTTATTATAGCTGTCAATAAATTATTGATTTAGGTACTTATATACAAAAAACTTCCGCAAAAAAGTTCAACTTTTTTGAAATTTAATTTTTCTTTCAATCTATCTTCTATATAAAAATAAATTTCTGTTGGTCAATCTCGCTAATCAAAACTCGAGAACGGCTAAACCGTTTCTGCTAATTTTATAACCTTTCAGTTGTTTAAGACGTGGAGTCACGCGGGTCACAGTGTAGATATTTTCTTTTGTTTTTTATGTACCGACATTCAGCGAGATAATCTATGAAATATTCTTTAATGTCCAGGTTCAATAGCGTCAGAAAATATGATTGATATGTTAGAATTGTTTGTTTCATTATACAAACTGTTCTATAAGTTGTTTTATTATTTAATTTAATTATTAAAAACAAGAAACCAAAATGGCAACAGTGAATATTATGTGGTATTTTATATATAGATATATAACGAGTCCTTGAGTACGGTCCTGTTAGGAGTGCGTCCCTGGGTACCCCTCTCGCCCCATCTTCCGCTACCCCGCAACCCGCCGTGTCCATCCCCGCGCGAGCGCACCGCCAGTCGGCGAACCGCCCTTACGCGCGCACCCCGTGTGTTATGTGTTTGCGCCTGCGCCCTTATAATTACGTGTCTTGCACAAGGTTTATATGTTTCACTTATGTACTTTGCAATATCATAAAATATACGTCAGTGAAATTTACTCTAAAGTGGTGTCTCATTTCACGAACGTTATACTGGCTCCCAACGTATTGGCCGATCGATATTCTAGACTGTTCGAAACACGTGCACGGGATTTTAGTGGAAAACAATCATGCCGCCGCGTAAAGTTCGCAATAACGATTCCAGTTCGGACGATGAACCTGTGACTGTGACGGAGACACCTGCAGCTCCAGTGCTTATGTCGGAAACTCAGCTGTCGTCGCTCCTGGCCGCCTTCTCTTCGGCGCAGGCCGAGGCGAACCGAAAGCTCGTCGAGTCTCTGCTGACATCGCACTCAGGGACGCCGCCTAGTGTGACCTCCGGCGCCACACCGTCATCGTATGCTGGGAATCTCGTCAAATGCACCTCGCGTTTCGATGGATCGTCGGAGTATCCGGAGGCGGTCGAGGCATTTATAGACGCCGTCGAGATGTTTATGGATTGTGCTTCGGTCAGCGACGAGATGGCACTTCGTGGACTCCCCATGTTACTTCATGGCCAAGCAGCAGTCTGGTGGCGTGGCATCCGTCATGAAGTTACATCATGGTCAGAGGCTGTCAAGCGCCTGCGTTCGATGTATGGTATACCAAGGCCGCCGTACAAACTGTACAGGGATGTTTTCGCTGCCGAGCAAGGGTTAGAACGCGCCGACGTTTTTATCGTAAGAGTACGATCGCTGTTGTCGAAACTACCGTATCAATTACCAGAGGAAGCGAGACTCGATATGATTTATGGTCTACTTCACAAGAGAATCAGAAAGCGGTTACCAAGAGACGCTGTGAGTGATATTGAATCGCTTATAGTAAAATCTCGCAGCATAGAAGAATCGTTGTCGGAGAACTCGTCGTCGTCGTCGTCGTGTTTACCTACGGGGACTGCCCGCGCGCTCAGCGAGAGCGCGCATCAACACGTCGCTCCGGGGGCGACTTCTACGCCGCCGCCGACCGTGCGCGCTGACCGCGTCCCTACTGCGAAGTCCGCGCGTAGTGAACAGTGTGTGAACAACAGTGAAAAGAAGCCCTTCTGTGTATATTGTAAAACGCGAGGTCACGTACGGGACTCCTGTGATAAGCTAAGTAAACGTTCTTTTACTAGCTCCGGTACACCTTGCTATAATTGTGGTGAGAAAGGTCACATTAGAGTTAATTGTCCTAAAGATAAACAAAGTAGTACTGGAGATAGTAAATCAGACGTTAAGATAGAAAATGTGTTTTCTTCTGTGTATGTAGATAGTAAGAAATTATGCTCGAAGTTTGTTAACGATAATAATAAGCAGGGTCGGCCTATCGTCCGCGTGTGTGTGGAGGGATATCAGGGTACCGCGTTATTAGATACCGCCGCACGTCGTAGTATTGCGAGTTATTCACTTTATTCCTTACTGAAACGTATTGGTTCAGACTTTCGCGCCGAAACGATGTCGTTGAAGCTTGCGGATGGTATTGTTAGGAATAGTGATGTGCTATTGACGATAGTTAATGTTCAACTTGCTTCATTATCGATACCTATTGAGTTAATTATTTTACCTGATGCTGTTAACAATGATACCCTGTTAGGCATTGACTTTATTACCAAAGCCAAAATGATTATAGATTTTTCTAATTGGACTTGGCGTACCGTGGACCAGCCTCGGACACTTCACACTTTGTCATGGGAATCCGAACGCGAGTCGATTCAGTGTGCTTCCGTGAACGTACTGAGGACGGACGAGGGCGCTAAGCTATCACAGTCGGAGAGGTCAACGTTGGAGAATCTTTTAGGTGAGTATTCTGATATTTTCGATGTAGTCGGAGAGCCTACACCATATGCGGAACACCACATAGATACCGGCGACCACCCGCCCATTGCTTTGCCCCCGTATCGAGTTACGCCTGCCAAGAAGCAAATTATGCGCGCCGAGTTAGACAAGATGTTAACGGAGGACGTGATCGAGGAGTGTGAGTCTGCCTGGTCAGCACCGTGCGTCTTGGTGCCGAAACGTAACGGTACGTATAGGTTTTGTGTCGATTATCGAAAGCTGAACGCGATCACTAAGACAGATGCATACCCCATGCCGCGTATCGACGAGCTGCTACAGTCGACCAAGAAGGGTTGTGTAATGAGCTCTTTAGATCTTCGCAGTGGGTACTGGCAGGTAAGTACCGCTGATCGCGACAAAACGGCATTCGTCACGCCTTTCGGTACGTTTAGGTTCAAACGCATGCCGTTTGGCCTTAAGAATTCACCGGCGACGTTTCAAAGGCTCATAGACCGTTTCAGATCAGGGTCTACTCTTAGCGGGAAGACTATTCTGGGATATTTGGATGACCTGTTGATTATTTCGGAGGACCTGGAGTCCCATCTAGCAGATCTGCGTGCGGTATTCGAGCGTCTCCGTATGTTCAAGCTTCGAGCAAACCGAGAAAAGTGTGTGTTTGCCAGAGACCAGCTTAAATACCTTGGCCACGTAATATCTTCTAATGGTATATCTCCAGATGAAGAGAAGGTAAGCGCTGTTTTAGAGATGAAGGAACCGACAACTCTCCAACAACTTCGCACCTTCCTCCAAACATGCTCTTGGTTCCGAAAGTTTATCCCAGAGTTCGCCAAAGTTGCTGAACCGCTTACACGTCTGACTAAGAAGTCACAGACCTGGACATGGGGTAAGGATCAAGCTAACGCTTTTAAACAGCTTAAGGCTCTTTTAGCTTCACCCCCCATTTTGACCCAGCCAGACTACTCAATCCCATTCATTCTTAGAACGGACGCCAGCGATTTCGCTTTGGGTGCAGCCTTACTCCAGGGGGAGACACCACAAGATGAACATCCCATCGAGTACGCTAGCCGACTCCTCACACCAGCAGAACGGAATTACTCCACCACGGAGAGGGAAGCGTTAGCCGTTGTCTGGGCAGTGGAGAGATTCCGCGGCTACATTGATGGGCATCAGATATGTGTCAGGAGTGATCATCAACCCCTAAAGTGGCTGTTTACCCTAAAGTCACCTACGGGTAGGCTTGTTCGTTGGGCATTAAAGTTGCAGTCTTTCGATTTACAAATCGAATATACACCTGGGAAGGCTAATGTGGTAGCCGACACACTCAGCCGCCCAGTCATAGATAGTACATCGGACTGTGGTGTCTGTCCTGTTACTGTGGATGTTCCTCGATGGGACGCCACATCTACCCGTGAAGCTCAAATGTCCGACCCAGAAGTAGCTAAGATTCTCACTGACCTAGAAAGTTCGGATGAACTGTCAGTGCATCGGTGGTCGGATAGAGGGT